TCCTTCTTTTCCCTTTTCCTCCTCCCCCTCTTTTTTCCTCCCCCCTCTTGCTTCCCCTCCTTCCTTCCTTCCCTCCTTCTTTTCCTTCCTGCCCCTCTCTTTCTTTTTCTCCCTTTCCTCCATCCTTCCTTCCCTTCTCCCTTTCTCTCCTCCTTCTCCTACGGACCAGCCTGGCCTTGCCCTTCTTCCCTCCCTCCTTTTTCCCCCCTCCCTTCCCTCCCTTCTCCCTTCCCCTTTCTCTCCTTCACTCCTCGGGACCAGCCTGGCCTCGCCCTCCTTCCTTCCCTTCCTCCTTCCCTCTCTCCTCCTCCTCCTGCCCTTCCTCCGCCCGCCCCCTAATTGAAGCCAGACCCCGAGGCGAATCCGGCTCCAGAAGGGCCGGCTCAGCGATCCGAGCAAGGCGGGAGCGGCGGGGCCAGAAGGCGGCGCGGGCGAGACAGACAGAGAGAGAAAGAGAGAGAGAGAGAGAGAGAGAGAAATCTCTTCCACCAGCAGCCGCAGCATCAAGTCCTTCGCTCTCCTTTCATTCTTCCTTTCCTTCCTTCCTTCCCTCCCTTCTTCCCTTCGGGACCGAAGCAACCGCGCGATGTGGCCGGCGTCCCCCGCGCTCCTGCTGCTGCCGATCGCCTGGGCGACCTGCGCTCTCGCCGCCGCCACCGCCGATCAGCAGTTCAGCCCCGAGGTAAGTCCCCGCTTTGGGCTCCTTTCCCCGGTGGGGCCCACCGTCCCCGTCCCCCCCCCCCGCCCCCCGCTCTCCCAGGCGGAGCCTCGGTTGGCACTGGCCGAGTCCGGCCGCTGGGCCGTTGGGCTTGCGGGAGGGAGAGGAGGGAGGGTAGGCGCCGGACCTCTCCCTGCAGGGACCTCCGGGCTCCCGGGTTGGTTGGGAGGGGGGGGGGGGAATTGACACCTCCTCCTCCCCCGACTTCATTCTTCCTTTCTTCTTTCCTTGTTTTGTTCCTTCTCCCTTTCCTTTCCTTCTTTTCTGTCCTCTTCCCTTCCCCTATCTGCCTTTCCTTCCCCCCTTTCTTTTCTTTCTTCGTTTCTGTCTACCCTTCCCTCCTCTTCCTTTCCTTTCCTCTATTTATTTTTCTTCTTTTCTATCTTCCCCTATCTTCCTTTCTTCTTGTCTATCTTTCTTCCCTTTCTTCTATTCTTTCTTTCCTTCTTCTTCTATTGACTTTCCTTTTCTTCTTTTCTATCTTCCCTTCCCTTCCTTCTTTCCTGCCTTCCTTTCCTTGTTTCCCTTCTTCCTTTCCTTTCTCTCCTTTCCTTCCCCTATCTGCTTCTCCTTTCTTTTCTATCTTCCTTTCCTTTCTTCTTTCCTTTCTTCCTTTCTATCTTCTTTCCCTCCCCTCCCTTTTTCTTTTATCTTTCTTTTCCTTTCTTCTTTTCTATCTTCCTTTCCTTTCCCCTATTTTCTTTTCCTTTCTTCTTTTCTATCTTCCTCTCCTGATTTGCCTCCCCCACCACACCTTTCCTTAAGCAGTGGGGCACACACACTCTGCGTTTCTCTCCCCATCTTCCTGCCCCCTCCCCTCTGCCAAGCTTCCCCTCACCTTTGCACCCCTGTTTTCTCTTTACAGCTGGTTTGCTCATATACTCCTCCCTTCTTCGTTGTTTTTTTTTTTTTTTTACTATCCTTTGTTCCTCCCTCTTCTTGGATGAGTTCTGCAGCTGGATGCAGAAGCGCTGCCTTCTCCTTTTGCAGCCAACCTCATTTGCACGGGACCTGATTGGATTCCCATGGCCCGGATTTCTTTCTCTTTTCAGGATTTTTCCTTTCCTTTCCAGCCCAACCCTTCCCCCACATCTCTGTCTAAACATGATGTCAGTTGATTTCCTCCCCCCTTTTTCCTTTCCTTTCCTATTTTCCTTTTCTATCTTCCCTTCCCTTTTATCTTCCTTCCTTTCCCTTTCTTCTTTTCTTCCTTTTCCTTTTTCTATCTTCCTTTCCTTCTTCATCTTCCTTTCCTCCATTTCCCTTTCCTTTTTTCTGTCTTCCTTTCCTCCCCTCTCTCTGTTCCTTTCCTTCCATTTCCTTTTCTTTCATCCTTTTTCTCTCTGTGTTTCTTTCCTTTCCCTTCCTCTCCTTTCCTTTCCTCCTTTCTTTCTTTCTCTCTCCCTTTCCTTTCATCTTTTTTCTTTCCCTCCTTTCCTTTCCATTCTCTCTTTCTCTCTCTCTCTCTCTCTTGTTCTGTCTTGTCCTGTCCTGCATTTATGGGTGTAATCTATTCTGTAGGATTTTTTTTTTTTGCAAATGGCTCCTGGAGTGGAAAAATTAGCAATCCTCTTTCTTCTTCTTCTTCTTCTTCTTCTTCTTCTTCTTCTTCTTCTTCTT